ATTGTCACACCACAATCCCTTCTCCTCCATTCTCCTCTCCGGATCTTGGGCACACACGCACATGTGCCAAAGTTTAAGCCACTGGGTCCAGGACTCGAACTGCAGCCGACTACATGGGAGTTCAATGACATAGCCATTATGCTAACTGCTGCTCCCTAAAAAAAATCCTTTAAAAAAAAAAAAAGACCCTATTGTTGGACCAGCCAGGGGGGCTGTGGTTAGGGTGGCTACATCCACATGGCCAACTGTGTGGTGTGATTTTGGGAAGAGAGGACTCAGACATATAAAGGGACCGTTCATCTAACAGACGGGTGACCTTGGACAAGCTGCTTAGCTTCTTCGTGCCTCAGTGCCTTCACCTGTAAGTGGGAATAGTAGCAGTGGCCATGCTGTAGGGTCACTGTGAGGGTCAGACGTGGTGAAGTGGGAATGAATCTCACCGTGCTGGCTGCATGGAGGTGCTGCCATTACTGCACACCACGGTGAGAACCAACGGGAGGGAACGGGGTGCTCCCTGAGTCCACGTGGTGGACCTCCGAAACGGAAATACCGGGGAAAGGAGTCCAGCCTGGTGAAGACCCTCTGTTGGTGGGACACTGCAGCCAGAAGCAGGAGGGAGAGCCCACCTTGGCATGTGTGGAGAACCCCTTCTGCTGAGGTTCCCCTTGGGTCCAGCAGGCCCAGAGCGCAGGGCACCAGCAGGGCCGGCCAGACCCTGACCGACCAGGTCACGTCCCCCCAGAGACAGGCCGTCAGAGCACAGTGCGACCTCAGACAAGCAGCTCTGTCCCTCTGAGTCTCAGGTCTGCTTTTTGTGATAGGAAAGGGGGACTCAGAGACCATTGGGCCCCAGGCCTGTGCTGAGGTCTGCATCTGCGACCTGGAGGGCACCTGGAAAGTCAGCCAGTTCCAGGGCAGCTGGGGCTAGGAAGTGGGGACTTAAAGAGGAGCAGCTGGGAAGGCAAAGCAGCTCAGAGGACACCGGGCTTTCTCCAGGAGGGGGTGGAGGTCTGAGCCAGTCCTAGACCTCCAGTGCCAAGGAGACCCTGCTGACATTTAGCTACAACACACTGCTCCTCGGGACAGCAGTTGGCGTAATGGCTATGTCGCTGGGCTCCCTTGTAGTCGACCACAGTTTGAGTCCCAGACCTGGTGGCTTAAACTCACGCCGGGCACATGTGCATGCATGCCTAAGATCCTGAGAGGAGAATGGAGGAGAAGGGACTGTGGTGTGGCCATCCCCCCTGGGGGGTGATTTCTCACTTTCTGTCCGTTTGTCTCTCTCTGTCTTTCTGGTGAGCATAAGTGCCCTATAGCAAAAAAAAAAAAAAAGTCACTGCTCCTCTGTTCTCATGGGAGGGGATGAAGCAACCAGCATGTTGAGCACCCACTGTGAGCCTCATGGCATGCTAGGATGGTGTCATTAATTTACAGATGAAGAAACTGAAGCTCAGAGAGGGCAAGGACTTACCCAGCTCACACAGCCAGGAGCACCCAGCCCTGTGGGCCTGATCTCTTCTCCCAGTACCTTCCCTCTGTTCCACCATACCCTCAGCTGCGCACTCCCCGAGGGGCACCCTGGGAAACGTATCATCCATAAATACCCCATTCCCACGTCACACATCCATGGATGCGCTCTCTGAAAACAACACCCCACCCTCTCAAAGGGCTCCTTCACCCCTCTGCACTGTGACTGCTCTTTGGACTTGCCTGGGAGTCTGGCTATGGACCTCTGCACTCTCTTGATCCCCCACCTCTGGGGCGTTTGCACCTCTCTTAACCCAGCTTTGAGACCATGGCCTGTCATTTGGTAGCACATTCTTGCCAGTAACCTGCTTTGGTGCTCACCTTCCTTGCAAACCCCTGAATGCATCCAGCTGTTTCTCTCCAAGCCTTCACTGGAACAGCCAAGGCAGGCAGGAGAAGAACTGCACCGTGTCAATTACCGAAGGCTGCGCACAGCGTAGCTCGCCCCAGCCTCTCACCAGGACTAGCTGCCGCTAATATCATCGCTATTGCCGAATAAGGAAAATGGGTAAGCAGAAGCTAAGTTACTCGTGAAAACACAAAGCACACAGCTAGTGAAGTTGAGCGGCCATAACTGAACCCAAGCAGTGTGTCCAGAGTCTCATGCACTAGGGACAGAGGGGCCATCCCTCCAAAGAGGGGCCATCCCGCCACCCATTGGCCAGGGAGTAGCTGGCTCCTATCTGGGGAAGCACTGCTCTCAGCCATGAGGGGGCCATCCAGGAGAAGCCCAGAGGCTCCTGCACTGGAGGGTGACAGTACCACTTGGGAGATTCGCTGTATGACAATAAAACCAGCTTGCACTCTCAGCCCTCACAATGCGTATCGCAAACATCTTATTATCATGTATGCAATCATGTAACCCTCCCGACAACACTATGAGGGGGAAGCCACAGCGATCCCATTTTCCTAAGGGACACAGCAATGCGCCTAACTTCAGACGATGGAGAGTGGAAGGGCTGGAAGGGGAGCGACACAACTGGATGCCAGAGCCCCATCTCCTGCTCTTAAACAACTCTTCCTACCTTTTTTCTGGCTCCCGAATCTCCCAGACCTGGCTCCTTCTGAGTAAGTGAAGGCATCTTTTCTGTCTGGTGGTTCCTCCCCCCGGCTCTGTACTCACTCTTCAGCTCCCAAAGTCCTGCTCCTGAAGCTCTTGGGATCCTCTCCTCTGAGGCGTCTGGGCAGTGGGTTGAGGCTTACACAAGGGAGGACACGGGAACTCCACCTAGAGTGCCCCAGCCCCAGCCCCAGCCCCAGCCCTGGACCCAACTGCCTCTACTTTCACGGCCCAGGCCGGGCCCTCTGGTGTCCTGGTGGTTAGGCAGCTGGATCATCACACGTAAACCAACCACACAGCTTGAGTCCTGGACTTAGTGGCTTGAAAACATGCCAGCACATGTGCGTGCATGCCCAAAATCCTGACGAGAGAAGCGGAGACGGGATCATGGCAGGACTGTGCCCCATAGAAGGTGCTTGCTCACTTCCCTCTCCCTCCCTCTCTCCGCAAGCACACACCCTCTGGCAAAATGTTTTTAAAAGCCCAGGTCTACCACTGCAGGCACCTTCCTATGCAGATGGGGTCCGAGCTGGTCCTCTGGGCAGCAATGGCCCCAGTTTGCTTCTGGAGGGTGGGCAAGGTTTCCGGTGGCTGGGGCTCAGAACCCGGGCTGAGGCGGAAATTCCCAGCCCCCTCCTCACACCTGCCAAGCCCACCACCCCAGCCCAGATGGGACCCTCACCTCTCCCCATTCCCAGGAGTTAGGTGGGGACAGGCCCTGGGTTATTCATTCTGTCCCCTCTCGCCCGTGCTTTTTCCCATTCCCCTGGCAACCAAACCAGACCCATCAAGGAGAAGGACCTGGCAGCTGTGCAGGGAGACTAATGGCCCGGAAGGAAGGAGGGGCCTGGAGAGAAGGCGGTAAGGATGTGAGTAGTGGAGGAGGCAGCGGGCGGGAGTTGGCCCTGGCCCATCTCAGAGGACACACAGAGGGGGAGGGGTTCTTCTGCCCTGCAATCCCAAGGAGCCGGCCAGCCAGGGAGCCGCCCTTCTCATCCAGCCAAAGATCCAGCCTGGAACCCCTAACCTGCTCCCCAAGATGCCCAGCTCTTGTCCTCAGGGCCAATCAGAGGCAGACTTGTCCCTGCTGGAGAGCCCTGGAGTTCCCAGCAAGCAGCAGCCCTGTGGCTCCTGGGAAACCCTGCAGGCCTCAGCACCAGCTCCTGCAGACCATCCAAGCTGCTCTGTCCACTCCTGGTTGGCCGGGGCCTACGATCTGGAAGCTGCTTGACATGCAAAGGCCAGATGTCAGCCTTCCCACTAGCTCTGGGGGGCGTGGGGAGTGGTGGGGTGCGTGCGGTGTGTGCGCGAGTGGGTAATGTGTGTGCACATAGGTATTGGGGGCTACGCTATGCATTGTTGGTGTGCACAGGCGAGTGGATCTGTTTGGGGGGCCTTCTCTGCTCTCAGAGGGGGAAGATGGCGTCTTCTCTTCCCCTACCCTTCCCCATCTAGCCCCACCCAGTCTTGGGTACCTGCAGCTCCTCAGTACTAGAAACTGGTTCGCGCCCGCCTGTCCATC